TTGAATTCTTCATCCTTGGATATAGAAATTAGACACGCATACACGTATAATTTAATACTCGGCCTACTATTATCATTTTTGTTTTTTGTTTTTTGTTTTTTTTTTGGTAGGATAAATTTATATACACATATAGATCAGGTTTCGTGTACCGAGACTTGTGAAGTATTTACGTATATTCTGGATATTGCAATTTGCACAGCCCGTTGTTACCAATTGATGACGATCATGATGACGAGCCTTTTGTCATGCACAAGTAAAGTTATAAATTGCAAGATACATATAAAATTACGGAGTTTCTTTGGTAGGATTGAAATAAAATACTGGTAGATTTTTATTTTGCAGTCGTTAAATATGTATTATAAACTATCTGCTTTGTATAATTTTTTATCTGATGTAATTTTATCCAGATTCAACGGTCAGAAACATACTCTACCGGTAAATAGGCATATTAGAAAAGGTCCTATAAAGTTATAGAGAAACTGAGGAATTATAGATGAGCATTAATTTTATGGAGATTTTTATGGTAGGACTTGAAAGAACAAACTATCAATAGCTCTTTATTTTTTAGCCATTAAATCTATATCAGAAATTATTGTCCTGCATACTTGTTTATTGTAATTTGATTTTGATCAAATTAAATAATCATAAATATGAACTGCGTGCAGTAGGCTGTCTTCCCGTAAATTGACCTTGATTTTATCTAATTTATTAAAAGCCTATTATTTTTTGCTTGAAAAAAATTATTGGGAGCCTTCCTAAAGATCAAAATGGTTTATGTATATTGTACTATTATCTAGATAACATATGGAGTCAATTGTCTTTTTAATATTTGACTTTGTTTGTTATCTAGATTCACATTCATTAAGAAATTAGTCTAATGTTAGAAATAATTCAATATTGGGGACAATTAGGTCAAATATTTCGTCGTAAGTACCATCAGGATATTTCCTACATATGTTGGTAGGTCCATGTGTTTAACTAGTACATGTAGCGTACATACGGTCAGCTTGACTAAATGTTGGTGGTGATAAAATAAGAGTGAAAGTGAAATTACCCACACAAAAAGAGAGAGAGAGAAATATATGAGTTTTATGATTAGTATTAGAATCTCACATTGGCTAGAGATATTAGTATGATCCACTTAATAAGGTGAAGGCTATCCTCTCATAACAAGCCGGTTTTGTTAGGGTGAGTTGAGTCTAAAATCCTTTGATTTCTGTAAAATCGTATCAGAGCATACCCAATTTTGTAATGTTTAGTCCCCCAATATCGACTTATTCACAGCAGTTTGGTATGGTCCACGCTGTGTGTGAGGGGGCGTATTAGTCCACGATGTGTGTGAGGGAGCGTATTAGAATCTCACATTGGCTGTAGATATTTACCCAAACTCAATCTAACAAAACCGGCTTGTTAAGTGAGGATTGCCCTCACCTTATTGAGTAGATCGTGCCAATATTTCCAGCCAATGTGGGATTCTAATATGCCCCCTCACGCACAGCATGGACCATGCCAAACCGTTGCAAATAAGTCGATATTAGGGGACCAAACATTACAAAACTGAGTCGACTTTGATACCATTTTACAGAAATAAAAGGATATTAGGCTTAACTTAACCTACCAAAACCAGTTTGCTAAGGGAGGATTGTCCTCACTTTATTAAGTGGATCATGTCAATATCTCCAGCTAATATGGGATTCTAATACTTAGAAAACAAAAATGAGTTTTATTTATGGCAAAGAAATGGAAAGTTCAAAATGATGCACAATTCATAAACAACGAATTAAGAAAGCCATGAGTGACAAATTAATCAGATCAGATTCGGAGTAAAGATCGGCAAATACAGCCTTAAATTAAGATTAAGAATGCAGATTTTATCTAACTTCCAAAGTAAAATTAAGCAAAACAAATATATATTTGGAGATTAGGGTTTCCTTGTGATTTCAGCTGAGCATTGGTGCAGGCAAAATGAGACCCCAAAATTGAAGTAATTGAAAATGGATCCACGAGAACCACGACTTTGAAAAACCTGCCATCATATTTTGAATGAAGGAACGACTTTATTAGGTTAGTCCACGGTGTGTGTTGAACTTTATTAGGTTAGTCCTCGTAATTAGTATGTACGTATAGTGGTTAGAATCTTAGGTCTGTTTGCATGAAAGAAGAAAGGAGAAAAAGGTGTATATTTAGTTCCATTTATTGTGTGTTTTACTTCACATAAAAAAAAATAAAAGAACGAATATTATCATACGATCATTTAATAATGTGTTTACTTATAAAATTGAGAGTGATAATTTAGTAGGTTCTATATATACTATAAGAAAGAAATATCATAAATATCCTTGCACCTGCTGATATCGATTTCCGTTTAAAGCAAATGAACTTATATGTCCTTAACTAGTTCACTTTTAATTATAAGCCAATAATTATATAAGTATTTAAAAGAATATTTTAGTAATACATTGATAAGATTCCAATTCCTAAATTTTGTTAACACTACTGGTAAAAGAGTTTGATCGTTTCTCATTTTACTTTGTAAATAAACACGAGAGATCTTCATTCTTATTATTTTACATTCCATTTCAAATCTATTGGGCGCGTTTGGAACTCACTCCAAAATGATTTTAGTTTTTGTATGAAAATGAAAATGAAAACGTTTTCAATCTCAAACAGAAATCATTTTTAAAAATGCGTTTGATAGTTTTATCAAGAGATTATTTTCAGTATAAAAAACTCATTAATGTCCATTTTTTCTCTCTCTGCTCAAAAGAGGAGAAAACGAAAACAAAAAATAGAAAACGACTAAAAATCGTTTTTCATTTCTCTCTCATTTTACATTAAACTAAAAAATTATTTTTATTTTTATTTTTTGTCTTTATTACTCCAAACGCCGTTTTAAAAACGTTTTTATTTTTTTTATTAAAAAGCGTAAAAAATAAAAACGGAATCAATTTTAAACACGGCTATTACTTTTCAAAGGATTTGGTAAGCATGTTCTTAAACGTGGCGAACTTTTAGTTGACAATGAGTCGCTAAACTAGAAATGTTTATGAAGTAATTATTCTACAATGTCGTTATATCAAAATTCTAAGGCATATGCTCATCTGTAAGACCCATAATGTTATTATTAATCTTATAAAAATACACTTTCTTTATTTCTCCCTTTCTATCATTTTATTAGTAGAAAAATGGGATTATAGATGTCATTTAGTACTGCCTTATTCCCTTTATCATTTTAAAATTTTATGGATCTATTAATAAAATAAAAATAACGTGACGTGATTCACTAACTCAAAAAATAGTTTCAATTTTCACTTCCACCACCGTGAATACAAATACTACAGGCTTATTCTTTTGAGTTACAATTTTATTCGTGTTCATGTTCTTTTAAGTTAAACTCGAGTTTAAACTCAAGTTCAAACTCGAGTTTATGACTAAAACTTGAGTTCAAGTTTCCTCTTCAACTCGAGTTCAGAAACTCAAACTCAAATTAATAAACAATATTTTTTCTATTCTTAAAAATACTATAACTTTTTTGTTTTAATTCTGATTGAGATGATTTTTCTTTCTATGCGTTGACAACGAAAAGACGAATAAAACTAGACCAATATACCCTATTAAAATTTTTCATCAGTAATGAATTTTTATTAAAATACTATCTAAAAACAAATTCAAGTTTTGACTTACTCAAACACAAACTCAAAAAAGATTTTTATCTCAAACCATAACTCAAATGTACACAACCAAATACAAACTCAAATTACAAGTTCAACTCAAATTATAACTCAAATTCAACTCAAAAATTATACTCAAGTTAAATTTTAAAAGAACAAGCCTTTACATATCCCATTAAAAGTATAAGGTCCTAAAATGGCCTACAGAGTATCAAAATCTCAAGCACATAGAGTCAGCTGCATAATTCAATCCGAGGTTTTCTTCTATCTTCTTGTATTGCTTACTTTCCAATTAGTTTTTTTCCCATATTAAAAACATAGGAGAAGATAGAGAGCACATCCGCTTCGTTTTGTTAGAAAAAAAAAAAAAAAAAAAAAAAAAAAAAAAAAAAAAAAAAAAAAAAAAAAAAAAAGAAGAAGAAGAAGAAGAAAAGTTAGAATTTTTGGTAGAGTAGGAGAGATGCAAGTATAATGTACGGATGGAAAGACTGATTGATAGCAATAGCATTGAAAAAGCTTTAAAATAGTAAAGGTTGGGGAGAGCAGAGTAGGGTAAGAGCCAAAGTTCGCCTTTTGTTGAGCTTAAGGGACGTCTCTTTGGTACTATCACATGATCATTGCTCACTATTCAATTATATTTTACTCACCGTCTGAGTCATCCCCTACTCATAATTCATAACAATTCCATACTCATGTGTAAACACGGACCTATTTAATTCACTGATTTAAATTTTTAATTTAAATTAAGATATAAATTTATGTAAAAAAAATTTTATTGTAATAAAAAATTAAATGTGATTATTTTTAAAAATTTTTTACTATAACAAAACATTAATTTTAAACTCAAATCGATAAAATAAATAAAAGTCTCTAAAAAAATTCTTTTAAGTTGAGCAAAAAAAAAAATATATATATATATATATTTTTAAAAAATAAAAAATAAAAAAAATAAAATCACACGGTCAACCCATGCCTCAAGACCCTAACTATCCCCCACACGCTCTTTATGAGACTGGTTCCAACACGTGCTCTCTCCAAACGAGTAAATAATAAGAAGTATACTCGGACTCAGTATAGCATTAGTATGGAAGGACAGACCCAAGAATGAGCTGGAATGGTGATTCCCTCTATGGGATTTGAGCTGTAATTGAAA